TGGTCTGGGGCGTGACAGTTAGACCTTAAGAACAACCGGACAAGTTTGAGTATATGCCATATCAGCTCAATGCTTTATATGGTGACAAAAATGGTGCCTTGTTTTTTGTCAAAGTGAAGTTTGGCCTCCTTGAGTTATATGATGATTATGTTGTCACTTACTCTGACTGAGTTGGTGGAAGTTCTAATTCAAGTTCACATACTGCTGCATTTGTGGAATTTAATAATGCTAAGAACAGGCCAGTGTCAAGATTTAAGACTGAGCTAAAAAAAGAAACTAGAGAGTGGTCAGTTAGGAGTTACAAAAACGGAACTTGATATCTATCTTGAAGAGTGAATAATTGAGGAAGATAAGGACTTTGATATATTGAGATGGTGGAAGTTAAATAGTGAAAGATTTCCTATTCTTTCTAAGATGGCTAGAGATGTACTTGGTATTCCAATCTCCAGATTAGCTTCTGAGTCCACATTCAATACAAGTTGTAGGGTTTTGAACTGTTTTAGAAGTTCTTTAAGTCGAAAAATTGTGGAAGCCCTTATTTGTGCACAAGATTGGTTGAGAATGGCTAACCAGCCTATTTCAGTTGAATAAAACATTGATGATGTAGACATATTAGAAAAAGGTATAACAGTTGTGCCTTTTCATTTATTTATACATAATTTGTAATATAATGTTGTCATTTTTCAGTTCTAACACCTGTCTTTTTTTATAGAATTAACAGATGGAAATATTGGTAGTGTTTTGACCACTTTGTCGTCATGTGCGTCAAAATAATAAATACAATACAACACTTATACGTAGTATAGTGTAGTAAGGTTCGTATCCACATAGAAAGAAATATTTATCTTTTACGTAACTAGTAACAAATGGGAGTTTGGATTGATTGATGAACTTTAAAGTATTTAAACACTAAGATGAACGACTTATGTGGTTTAATTAATTAGAGATGGAAACTTGGTTTTGCTTATATCCACTTAATGAAATGTTTGTCGATCCCGGTTAATGGTTATATCTTTAACTATCTTCCTCTCGAATACTCAATCGAGGAGTATATCCAATTCATCGAGGGTAATTATTAATAGCGAGAGGCGTTCATTAATAAAACTTACTACCGAGTCAATATAGAACACACACCATATATTAACCCGTTAGTAGCAATAAACTTAAGATGAAAACGATTGAGGTTGATAGCATCAACACAAGCGGTTTACTGGTTTAATCAATATAATTAATTTCCCTTAGATTATTAACCATGAGATGCATGCATTAATAATCCAAGTTTACTACCGTTGAAAGAACCAAATTTATAATAAGGTTTTTTTATTAATCGATTGATTCTAGTAATAATTAACATATGAAACAAAACTAGTTGATCCTTTAAGTAATGTTCAAAATATTAATACGGAGTATGAAATATGAATATGAATCAATTAATATTCAAGGAAGAAGATTAAAAAAAATAACACATAACTTACAATCCATTAAGCATCAAAGTAGCAAAACCAAGATGAAAGAGTTTAGCTCCTCATCTGAAGACTAAACATACTAGAAAATATAAAGGAAATACTTATCTAAACTGAGCTTAGAAGTATATGTGAATTGGTCATTTTATTGTGAAAGAAAAGGGGTGTATTTATAGATGTTTCGAGCATGCAGGAGTATGTACCCGATCGGGCATACAACGCATCCGATCGGGTACCTTCGGAGGCATCCTGGAAGATAGAAAAGTGGGACATACCCGACCGGGTACTTCGGTTACCCGATCGGGTATAACATTTGAACGTCGCCTTGCCCCGGATTTGATCCGATTGGAAATTTCAGCAAGTTACCCGATCAGGTAGAGGTCATACCCGACAAGGTACAGGTCAAAAATCAGGATCTTCCATTTTGTCTCGATTCAAACCGAACCGAATCGATTTTTAATAAGGTTTATTTAATTATTTATTCCGCAGCAGCATACGTATTAAAATGGAAATATGTTCTTTTTGTGACAAGTTAATGATGCGGTTCAGTGGTTTAGCTTTGGCTCTCTCCGCGCGCATGATTTGTTTTCCACCCAGGTTCGATTCCTACCCTCTACGAACTATTGTCATTTTATTTTTCAAAACTCTCTTGAAACATTCCCACACCGAGTAAATCAGATATCTTACTCCTCATTAGTGCCTTCAGATCCTGAAGCATCACGCGATCAAGGCTCTGCTTCAAAGCTACGTTGGATTTCGCCCATAGTCCAATTTTTGAAATTAATCGGTTCTTCAATCGTTTTTTCAATAACTCGGGTTTAAGTTATTTTCGGCTCGGTTGCGGGTTACGGAAATTGTGAAACTGAAAAATTGGTTCGGGTTGGGATTTTCCTATTTCAGTTCGGGAACGGAATCCTCCCCTAGACTGTAGGTTGTCTAGCAGTTCAACTTTTTAAGTTTATAAGTTATAACATTGTAATTTTTGGATGGCAAACTTCAAATTTTGGACTAAAACTCGGTAAGTTTGAAATCTTTGGATTTCCATTTTGGATTGCAAAATTGAAATTGTTGTACTTACAGTTTCATTTTTTATTGGTGATTTTGTAATTCGATTCAATTTGATACCCGATCTGAACCCGAACATAACCCAAAATTAAAAACCTGATTTTTTTATTTTTTAATGCATAGAATCGGGTCTTGTCTTTTTGAACCCGCCCGACCCGAACCCGATCCATGCTCCGCACTAATTCAAAACACAAGGAGGGAAGATATATACTCCGTACCAGGGTAATTATGGATTGACAAACTCACAAAAGTGATAACACTCCCTGAGTATCGGGTAGTGATACTCCGTATTATCAATATTGCCATTCTCCGTACTGGCGTAACAGTATCTGTCTGTATTAGTCCCAACATGGATACAATATGCTTCTAGCTCCTTTAATTTGTCCATATTCTTCATCTTCATCACCATCATCACATAATACTCACTTTCGGCGCGCGTGTTCTGGATTCAACAAGTTTTCACAAAGAGATCAAGGAAAAGGATTGAAGCAGCAAGAGATGGGGGAAGAATCATCACTGCCATTGATCTGTAGAGCGTCAGCCACCGATGCCCCCATTACCGGGTCGGGTATATCCATTTACCCGGTAAATTACATGGTACAACCAGCTGTACCTAGAGCATGGTACAGCCGGGCCTTTTTGTAATTTATTCCAACCCTCAGAGCATTAGTAAGCTGGTGCTTCTCTTTTTTTCGTCCGGCTACTTCTCCTTTTCTTTCGCCAGCACTACTCCTGCGCTTTCCGGTTGCTTTACTTTTTTCTTTTCTCTGTTTTTTTTTCTTTTGTTTTTTCAATTCGTTGACTTGTTGCTTCCCTTCTTTCTTTTTCTTCAATTTACTTGTTGTTTTTCTTTTCTTTATTTTTTCTTTAACAATCTGTTACTTTATTTTTTATTCAATATATTAACCCGTTAGTAGCAATAAACTTAAGATGAAAACGATTGAGGTTGATAACATCAACACAAGCGGTTTATTGGTTTAATCAATATAATTAATTTCCCTTAGATTATTAACCATGAGATGCATACATTAATAATCCAAGTTTACTACCGTTGAAAGAACCGAATTTATAATAAGGTTTTTTTATTAATCGATTGATTCTAGTAATAATTAACATATGAAACAAAACTAGTTGATCCTTTAAGTATTGTTCAAAATATTAATACGGAGTATGAAATATGAATATGAATCAATTAATATTCAAGGAAGAAGATTAAAGAAAAATAACACATAACTTACAATCCATTAAGCATCAAAGTAGCAAAACCAAGATGAAAGAGTTTAGCTCCTCATCTGGAGACTAAATATACTAGAAAATATAAAGGAAATACTTATCTAAATTGAGCTTAGAAGTATATGTGAATTGGTCATTTTATTGTGAAAGAAAAGGGGTCTATTTATAGGTGTTTCGAGCATGCAGGAGTATGTACCCGATCGGGCATACAGCGCATCCGATCAGGTACCTTCGGAGGCATTCTGGAAGATAGAAAAGTGGGACATACCCGACCGGGTACTTCGGTTACCCGATCGGGTATAACATTTGAACGTCGCCTTGCCCCGGATTTGATCCGATTGGAAATTTCAGCAAGGTACCCGATCAGGTAGAGGTCATACCCGACAAGGTACAGGTCAAAAATCAGGATCTTCCATTTTGTCTCGGTTCAAACCGAACCGAACCGATTTTTAATAAGGTTTATTTAATTATTTATTCCGCAGCAGCATACGTATTAAAATGGAAATATGTTCTTTTTGTGACAAGTTAATGATGCGGTTCAGTGTTTTAGCTTTGGCTCTCTCCGCGCGCATGATTTGTTTTCCACCCAGGTTCGATTCCTACCCTCTACGAACTATTGTCGTTTTATTTTTCAAAACTCTCTTGAAACATTCCCACACCGAGTAAATCAGATATCTTACTCCTCATTAGTGCCTTCAGATCCTGAAGCTTCACGCGTTCAAGGCTCTGCTTCAAAGCTACGTCGGATTTCGCCCATAGTCCAATTTTTGAAATTAATCGGTTCTTCAATCGTTTTTTCAATAACTCGGGTTTAAGTTATTTTCGGCTCGGTTGCGGGTTACGGAAATTGTGAAACTGAAAAATTGGTTCGGGTTGGGATTTTCCTATTTCAGTTCGGGAACCGAATCCACCCCTAGACCGTAGGTTGTCCAGCAGTTCAACTTTTATAAGTTTATAAGTTATAACATTGTAATTTTTGGATGGCAAACTTCAAATTTTGGACTAAAACTCGGTAAGTTTGAAATCTTTGGATTCCCATTTTGGATTGCAAACTTGAAATTGTTGTACTTACAGTTTCATTTTTTATTGGTGATTTTGTAATTCGATTCAATTTGATACCCGATCTGAACCCGAACATAACCCAAAATTAAAAACCTGATTTTTTTATTTTTTAATGCATAGAATCGGGTCTTGTCTTTTTGAACCCGCCCGACCGAACCCGACCCGTGCTCCGCACTAATTCAAAACACAAGGAGGGAAGAAATATACTCCGTACCAGGGTAATTATGGATTGACAAACTCACAAAAGTGATAACACTCCCTGAGTATCAGGTAGTGATATTATCAATATTGCCATTCTCCGTACTGGCTTAACAGTATCTGTCTGTATTAGTCCCAACATGGATACAGTATGCTCCAAACTCCTTTAATTTGTCCATATTCTTCATCTTCATCACCATCATCACATAATACTCACTTTCCGCGCGCGTGTTCCGGATTCAACAAGTTTTCACAAAGAGATCAAGGAAAAGGATTGAAGCAGCAAGAGATGGGGGAAGAATCATCACTACCATTGATCTGTAGAGCGTCAGCCACCGATGCCCCCATTATCTCCTCATGCAACGAGCGCATCAGACCTCTTCTTGACTGCGTTGACCAGCTCCGGGAGCTCAAGATCATGCAAGAAGGCATCCAGCTCCCCACCATCGTCGTCGTCGGCGACCAGTCCTCCGGCAAGTCCAGCGTCCTCGAGTCCCTCGCCCGAATCCACCTCCCCAGAGGGCAGGGGACCTGCACGCGTGTCCCGCTCATCATGCGTCTCCAGAACGCCCCATTTCTTGATAACCCAGAGCTCCGGTTGGAATACAATGGGAAAGTCGTCCCTACAGACGAAACCCACATTGAGGAAGATATTATTCAGGCCACCGAAGAGATTGCCGGCCCCGGGAAAGGGATTTCCCACACCGCATTGACCTTGGTCGTGCAAAAGAACGGAGTTCCTGACCTTACCATGGTTGACTTGCCCGGAATAGTCCGAGTTCCTGTTCAGGGCCAACCGGGCGACATTTACGAGCAGATCTCCAGTATCATCATGGAGCACATTACCCCGGAAGAGAGCATTATCCTCAATGTCCTGTCTGCGACGGTGGAATTCCCGATATGCGAATCCATCCGGATGTCACAGGAAGTGGACAAGTCCAGGGAAAGGACACTCGCGGTGGTCACCAAGGTCGACAAAGCACCAGAAGGGCTTCCGGAGATGGTCACTGCTGATGACGTTAAAATTGGACTTGGTTATGTCTGTGTCAGAAACAGGATCGGCGAAGAAGGGTATGGGGAGGCAAGAATGGCTGAAACCTTGCTTTTCGAGAGTCACCCGTTGCTAAGTAAGCTTGACAAGTCTATGGTTTCTGTCCCGGTCCTTGCTCAGAAACTGGTTAGGATTCAGGAGGGAATGATCATGAAATGTCTGCCCCAAATCATAAAGAAAATCAATGACAAGCTCGCAGCCAATGTAGCCGAGCTGAACCGGCTGCCACAGAAGCTTAACTCAGTAGGGGAAGCCGTGGCATCATTCATGCGTGTTCTAAGCTCAGTCAAGGACTCGTTGAAGAAAATCATGGTCCTAGGCGAGTTCAACGAATACCCCGAGGATAAAGAAATGCATTGCACTGCCAGGCTGGTGGAGATGCTCAACCATTACTCCTTGGAGTTGAGGTCAACGGGAAATCCTTCCCAGGGTCAAGTAGGGTTTTTGATGGAGGAAATCTCAGCTTTGGAGGAGTCAAAGGGGATTCATCTCCAGAATTTCCTCCCCAGAGGGGTTTTCCTTAACATGCTGCAGAGTAAAGTGAAGGCCGTTTCAGGCATACCTATAGATTTGGTTGACCGGATTTGGGATTACATCGAGAAAGTTGTTAGACCCGGAGGATAAAATAGTAGATTATATAAGGGTGTAGAAATATGACTGGACCGGATATCACTTCTAGTCACGTATTAAATACGCTTTCGTAAAAGTTTACTATCTACCCTTATCACAGTAACCGGCTTACAAGATAGAACTTTTGGGATAAAAAGAAGGTGTACAAGTGTATTTTAGCTACTGATAAAATAACACTTAACAAGTGATTTGTATATAAAGTAGTCTAAGTATTTTATGACTATCGCTGCAGACAATAGTAATAAGATAAGGCAAATGAGATGTATAACAAAATTATCAATTTTGTTCGTACCTTTTTCCGTTCAACATATGTCTGCCTTTTATAGAGTAAATTGGCCACCTTCCAAATAGTTGTGCACATTCATTTAAGCCACTCACGGTTTTGAATAACCACATCCCATAGTGGATATTGGATAAAGTCAAATAATTAATTCAATTTAAAAATCAATCACATCTTTTAAAAACAAAGGTTACGTCCCTTAGAAGTAAAAACAATTTTGATTTTAGAAATTAAAACATGTCCACTCAACCGTACATGACTTGCCGCACAACTGTTATTTGAAGCTATCAATTATTATTATCATTACTAAAATTATGGTTATAAAACACTTATAAAGTACCATAATTTCATAATAATAATTATAATTAAATATTCTTAATATTATCTTTAATAATCAAAGCTTGGCAATAATTATTAAAATAATATTCCAAATATCATGTTGAACACTTGAGCTCCATTTCTCAACAAATTTCCAACATTCCTCCTCCATTTATTGAGAAATAAATCTTGCTCCTTCTTTGCCAAATAGACTACTTATCAAGACTTATGCATAATTGAAAGTGTCTTAAAGATTGAACTTTCATTTAGTGCAATATTCTTTACAATATTTCGGATCATAATAGTAGACTAAGCTTTGAACTATATAACCACTTTGAAATACTGAAGATATTACACACATAAATCTTAATACAAATTCACTTAGAAACTTGACACTATTAACGACCTTGTGTCCATATCCATTCATGAGCTCCAACAAGTAAAGCCTTAAACTTGGTGAATCGGCCGCCATTCTAGCTCACTTAGGTAGACTTTTTCAAATTGTGTTCTGCAATTAAACACTTTATCAAAAGATCTATTAAGACATAGTTAACCTTATTACACATTGCAGACTCAAGCACTTACCTCGGGATGGTTATTATTTAAAAGTGCTTCAATCACGGAGTGACTTACTCATCATCATTGAACTCAAGATCTAGCGTTGTACTAGACGTTGAGTTGGGCTTTCTTTCACTTGTGATTATTTTCCAAGGGCTTTAACCCCATCCCTTTTGCAGTTTTGTACACCATGTCTCTTGGCATTGCTTTTGTAAAAGGATCCGCCAAATTCACATGCGACCGTACAAAATCAATCACAACAACTCCAGAACTAATAAGTTCCCGCACATAGCTGTGTCTCACTCCTATGTGCCTTGACTTACCATTGTACACATGGTTATAAGCTTTCGATAGGGTTGATGCACTATCACAATGGATTGATATCGGAGCCATAGGTTTAGGCCATATTGGGACTTCTGATACTAAATCCTTTAGCCATTCCGCTTCTTTACAAGCTGATGCTAAAGCTATAAACTCCGAAGCCATGGTAGAGTCTGTAATACAAGTTTGCTTCTTAGATGCCCATGAAATAGCACCTCCTCCAAGAAGGAATAACCATCCACTTGTGGATGAATAATCCTCTTGATTAGTTATCTAACTTGCATCCGTATAACCTTCTAATATAGAGGGTTCACTCTTGTAACATAAACCGAAGCTCATTGTTTTCTTTAGATATTTCAGCACTCGCTTCAAGGCTTGCCAATGAAATATACTAGGATTACTAGTATATCTACTTAGCTTTCCTACCGCAAATGCAATATCTGGACGGGTGCTAGTCATTGCGTACATCAAACACCCAATCACCCTAGCATATTCAAGCTGTGATACAGCGTTTCCACTATTTGGAACTAATTTCCAACTAGGATCCATGGGAGTGGAAACCGGTGAACAATCCAAACTCCCAAATCTTTTCAACACTTTCTCTATATAGTGAGATTGTGTTAAGGTGATAGTATCACCTTGCTTGATTATCCTAATTCCAAGGATAACTTCTGCTTCACCCATATCTTTCATGGAGAAGTTTGAATAGAGGAAAGCTTTTGTCTCTTTCACTTGCCTCAAATCAGTGCCAAATATGAGCATGTCATCCACATATAAACAAATAATGACACCACCATGCTCATTAAATTTGCTATATAAGCACTTGTCTGATTGGTTTATTTTAAAACCATTTTTAAGCAACACCTCATCAAACCTTTGATGTCATTGTTTAGGTGCTTGTTTCAGACCATACAAGGACTTCACAAGTTTACAAACTTTCTTTTCTTGTCCTTTAACTACAAACCCTTCGGGTTGTTTCATATACACCTCCTCCTCCAATTCACCATTTAAGAATGCGGTTTTGACATCCATTTGGTGAATCACAAGATTGTGAATGGCTGACAAAGCAATTAACAATCTTATGGTAGTTATTCGGGCTACCGGTGCATATTTATCAAAGTAATCAATACCATGTTTTTGTTTAAAGCCTTGTGCAACCAATCTAGCTTTAAACTTGTCAATAGTACCGTCTACTTTCATTTTCTTCTTGAAAATCCATTTACAACCGATTGGTGTGCAACCGGGTGGTAAATCACTTAGAACCCAAGTATTATTGCCCATGATTGAATCCATTTCATCATTCACGGCCTCTTTCCAGAAGGAAGCATCTTGTGATTTCATTGCCTCTTCAAAAGAGTTAGGATCCTCCTCAACACTATAACAATATAGTGTTTGAGTTACAAGGGTCTCTCTTGATCCTTCGACCAAATATAATTGGAAATCGGGACCAAATGACTTTTCTTTTCTAGCCCTCTTACTCCGTCTAATTTCAAGCTCATTTTCATGATCCTTTTCCAGTTCATGAAAATTTGAATTACTTGAACTGAGATCAACATCATTTGGCCTAGGAATAGAAGTGAACCGCTTCTCATCAAAAAGAGCATCCCTAGACTCAATAACGGTATGAACCGCAATTGAGTCATTCGGTTCAATAACATAGAATCGATATGATTTACTATGTTCAGCATATCCAATAAATATGCACTCTATCCCCTTTTCACCTAACGTTTTCCGTTTAGGTTCCGGTAATCTCACGATTGCCCTACAACCCCATACCCTAAGATAACATAGTTGGGGTGTTCTTTTGTGCCAAAGTTCATATGGGGTTATTTTATTTCTCTTGTTAGGAACTCGATTAAGAATATAACAAGCAGTTAACATAGCATCACCCCAAAATCCATTACTTAAGCCCGAATTAGACAACATGGAATTAACCATTTCTTTTAAAGTTCTATTTTTTCTTTCAGCTATGCCGTTTTGTTGCGGCGTGTAAGGGGCTGTTGTTTCATGGATTATTCCAACGGATTCAAAAAATTTAGGCTCATAATATTCTCCTCCTTTGTCAGTTCTAAGCCTTTTTACTTTCTTTCCGGTTTGTAACTCAACTTCCGTTTTAAAAACTCTGAATTTATCCATTGCCTCATCTTTTGAAAATAAAAGGTATATGTAACAATATCTTGTGCAATCATCAATAAATGTGACTACATATTTTTTATTTCCAAAAGAAGGAGTGCTATGGAAATCACACAAATCACTATGCACTAATTCAAGCATGTTGGATTCTCTTTCAACATTTTGAAAAGAATTTCTAGTGATTTTGTTTAACATGCAAGTTCTACATTTTTCTATGTTCATATTAAAAGGAGGAATTAAACCTACTTTAGACATGTCACTTAGTCTACGATAATTAACATGACATAACCTATTGTGCCACAAAGTAGAATCACAAACCATATACACAGAATTAACAACTTTATTTACAACACTTAGTTTGAACATGCCATTACAATAGAAACCTTGGCCAACAAATACACCACCTTTAGATAAAATAAACTTATTTGCTTCAAAGCTAAGTTTAAACCCAAAGTTATTTAGGATGCCACCGGAGACAAGATTTTTCCGGATTTGTGGTACAAAGTACACATCATTAAGAATTAATTTCTTTCCGGAAGTTAATATCAACTCTACTTGCCCAATTCCTTGAATTTGCACAGTAGAGTCATTTCCCATGTATAAGATCGGCCCCTCTTGCAACTCTTTTAAAGTCTTAAAAGCTTGCCTATCTTTACATACATGTCTTGTTGCTCCGGTGTCGATCCACCAAGATTCATCATCCTGCACAACACAAATTTCAGAAAGCATAGCTACAAAAATCATGTTGTTATCAACATCATTTGTAACTATAAAAAGATTCTGACCTTGGTTGTCTTGGCCACCATTTGGATGGCCGTTCGGTTGTGCTTTCTTCTTCTTCACCTTCGGGCAGTCCCTCTTGAAGTGTGGACCACCGCATTCCCAACAAGAGCCTACTTTCTTATCTTTCGGCCTCTTTTGAAACTTGGAACCTTTGGTGAATTTTCCGGGGCGTTTTTTATTTTTCATAGTCGCACTTGATTGTCCCTCCTCCATAACATTTATAGAGGAAATTGGAAGGTTGTTCTTTTTACCATTGTCACCTTCACGCAACTTAATGCCTTCTTCAATTTGAAGTCGGCGACCAAGTTGCTCCATTGACAAATCCTCCTTTTTGCGTTTGAGGCTATTTTTCACTTCCTTCCATGAAGGTGGTAATTTGTCGATAATAGAACCGACCGCAAAGGTTTCATTAACATGCATGTTATGAATCAAAAGTTGATCATATAAACGCTGAATCTCATGAAATTGCTCCATGACCGGACGTGAATCCACCATTTTGTAACTATTAAAGTTACTAATGAGAAATTTCTTACTTGAAGCATCCTCGGTCATATATTTAGATTCTAGAGATTCCCACAGCGTTTTAGCATACTCAACATTTTGATACACATCAAATAGAGAATCACACATACCGTTCAAAATGTGCCCACGACAAATGTAGTCGTCATTATCCCACTTTATGCGGCGGCGGCTTGTCTCCAAAGACTCGTTTTCTTCTTCCTCGGGTGGCCTCGGGGTGCTCAACACATAGACCACTTTCAAAGTAGTGAGCAGAAAAT